ATAGCTCAATGCTGTTAATAAAATACCCGTTGAATGGTTATTTTCTGTTTGTCATGCTTATTACGCCCTGTGTCATAGCTCAATGCTGTTAATAAAATACCCGTTGAATGGTTATTTTCTGTTTGTCATGCTTATTACGCCCTGTGTCATAAGTCAATACTGTTAATAAAATACCCGTTGAATGGTTATCTTCTGTTTGTCGTGCTTATTACGCCCTGTGTCATAAGTCAATGCTGTTAATAAAATACCCATTGAATGGTTATCTTCTGTTTGTCGTGCTTATTACGCCCTGTGTTATAGGTCAATGCTGTTAATAAAATACCCGTGAATGGTTATCTTCCGTTTGTCTACACCCTGTGTTATAGGTCAATGCTGTTAATAAAATACCCGTTGAATGGTTATCTTCTGTTTGTCGTGCTTATTATGCCCTGTGTCATAAGTCAATACTGTTAATAAAATACCCGTGAATGGTTATCTTCTGTTTGTCATGCTTATTACGCCCTGTGTTATAGGTCAATGCTGTTAATAAAATACCCGTGAATGGTTATCTTCTGTTTGTCTACACCCTGTGTTATAGGCCAATGCTGTTAATAAAATACCCGTGAATGATTATCTTCTGTTTGTCATGCTTATTACGCCCTGTGTTTTTAATCAATCGTGTTAATAAAATGCCCGTTTAATTACAGAAATGCATGTTTGTCAAGAATTGTTACTGTGGGCTTCTCTTTACCTGTCCCCCGACGGGACAACGGTAAGTTCAAGGGCTTACAACGCTAAAAATCGGGGTTTGATTCCTTACGGTGGACACAGCAGATAGCCCAATTTAGCTTTGCTCTAAAACAAACAAAGAAATTCTCTTCGCTTTCTGTTGCTTAACATTTTCACTTCGACTATTAGAGCAAACATACCAGGAGCACTTAACCTCATTCACGCTGCTCAAACCAGCTTTATACTTTCTGCAACAAATAACCTCGTTCACTATTCAAATAGTTTAATATTTCTCTGTTTACGTACCAGGAATACTTAAACTTGTTCACCGTGTTTATATTATCTTGATATTTGTTTTTAGACGTGCTAGGAATACTTAACCTCGTTCACGCTACTCAGATCAGCTTTATATTTTGCCACGAATTGTTCAAGTCAGTCTGATATTTCTCTATTGGTGTACCAGAGACACTTAACCTCACTCACGCTGCTGAAATCAGTTTCATCTTTCCCTGTTAGCATGTCAGGACGCTCTTGAAATCAGCTAGATATTTCCCTGTGGACAAGTCAGGAATAATTAACCTCGTTCATGCTTCATAGATAAGCTTTGATATTTAACATTAGACACGCAATGAGCACGGTTTAAACCTATAGCATGAATGACTTGATGAGGAAAAGAAGAGAAAGAGGGATTCAATAAATTCATATATACTGTCCCTATAAGATTACTAAAGTTAAGCCTGGTTTACTATAACTCTCAATGCGGCTCATACCAGAGAGTTCTTGTTGTTTTTCAATCATCAATGTATATCATTTATCCGAAAGTTCGTATTATTTTCGTGTTTTATCTTACACCACTGAAATGTTGACTCAGGGCATGGAAACAACCAAGAAGATTAAAAAAAATGGTTGAAATGAAAAACAGTAAAAAACATATTTACTGTTAAAATATTGGATATTTAAGGTGACTTAGTCGAGTCGAGAAAACACTAAAAACAAATAAACTTTTATTTGAACTGCTCTCCCCACAGGCTGAGCGGTAAGTTTGTTGAATTATCACTCTCAAGTTTGTTGTTTAATCCCTGTAGTGGCAATAGCGCTTATAGCTTTGCGTTAAAATAAAAAAGACAAGACAAAACAAAAACTGAGCCACTAACGAGAAGAATAACTGACTGCTGTTCAAACAAACTTTAAAAGGTCATGAAAAGTCTTTTCTCTAAGAATCAAACTTCGCTTTAACACTGAGTTCAACATCAATTCATCTTCTTATCCGTTATTGATTTAAATTAAACGCACAAGCACTGGTAAGAACCAAGTAAATAAAGCTATGACGTCATAGTCAAGCTTCGATCTCGGTTCGCTTTTCAGAGGAATCGGGAAAATAGTAACGCGTAACTGAATACAGCTAATATCTATTGTGGTTGAACTCCACTGATTAGGTCGAGAGTAAAGATGAAGTGTAGTGTCGCTGTCTCATCTAGCTTTATGTAAAACGTGAAGGTGGAAAGATGCGTCATTCTGCTACAGAAAACAACAACAACAACAATAGCTTTATGTAAAACGTGAAGGTGGAAAGATGCGTCATTCTGCTACAGAAAACAACAACAACAACAATAGCTTTATGTAAAACGTGAAGGTGGAAAGATGCGCCATTCTGCTACAGAAAACAACAACAACAACAACCAAAACAAACTCGATTCTTGCTTTAAGTTCAAACTGATCGAAAATCGAATAATATTTCATATTTTTAAGAAACTCATAAAAGAAACTGAAAATACGTCATCAAATAAAGAGAAATAATATTTCACATCTTTAAGAAGCTCATATACAGTGATTATGCAGCCGTTTCTTGTTGCCCTCTCCTGGTCGCTCAGTAGTAAGCTTTAGGGCTTATAACGCTACGATTCAAGGTTCGATCCATGCACTGTACATAGCGCAAGCGGTCTATTCTGTATCTTTCGCTTAATTAAACAAACTCTTATCGAAGGTATACCGGTGACGCAAAAGTAAGCTTGAGGGCTTATAATGCTATGAACCGGGGTTTGATCCGTGCAGTGTACTGTACATTATGCAGTTTGTGTTTGAAAATAAGCAAACGTTTCTTGTCTTTGATCCACAGTTGGAGCCGACCTAAAAATCCCAAACGCTAAAATGAAGCGGGAATCCATGATTAGCACGGCTGCTACCATGAGAGTCCTGAATGTCCTTCGACACTGGGTCTCCAAACATTCTCAGGTAAACAGTTTTCAATTTAACTCCAAATATTGATTTTTGGCTTATAGGAGACTCCAACTCTGTCACTGCCACATAAATATTCCTGTTTTATCTAAAATGCCCCCCCCCCAGGGGCACAGCGGTATGTCTGCGGACTTACAACGCTAGAAACCGGGTTTCGATACCCGTGGTGGACAGAGCACAGATAGCCCTTGTGTAGCTTTGTGCATAATTAAAAACAAACAAACAGTTTATCTAAAACTGAGCCTGGTACTGAGAGTGTTGTTTATAGATTTGGTAGTAAAAGAGTTAAATACAGATAGTATTGGGCGTGTTAAGGCTATAAACTTGGTAGTAAAAGAGTTAAATACAGATAGTATTGGGCGTGTTAAGGCTATAAACTTGGTAGTAAAAGAGTTAAATACAGAGAGTATTGGGCGTGTTAAGGCTATAAACTTGGTAGTAAAAGAGTTAAATACAGAGAGTATTGGGCATGTCCAGGCTAGATTAAGCAAAATTTTTTGAAGATATTTTGAAAAGCATCTCTGGACAATAATCTTGCATCATTCTTGATGACGAAGAATGCACTTTGAGACAATAATGTTCAAAGATGGCTTGAATGGGTGATGAAGACAATTTTCTTGCAAGTTTATCATCCTAACAGATGTACAACGTTTCGACAAGGTTTTGTCATCATCGGGTACAAGTACATTACATAGACTCAGGATTATATATATATACACACTATAGAACAAGAAGGTCACATGACCGGAGATTGCTTAAAAGCTCAGTAAAGGTATCTCGGAACCCAGGGATTTTTGTTTAGAGTTGGGCCGTTTTGTTCAATATACTCTCGGACACTCATAGCTTACTAAAGCGGCTCGAGATAAGTTGGAATTTCTAAAAGAAAAGATCACATTTCTTTTTTCTAATATTAAAAAAATAAAAACATTTTGCTCAATATTTTAGGATTTTGAAAACGATCCCAAGCTCCTACACTTGACAACAGAGTTTCTGGAGGAGCTGACTCACAACACAAACCTCCTGCCTGCCGAACACAAGGCAGCAGCACATATTTTACAGATGATCACGAAACAAGATCAACACGTTGCAGCAAAGCTTGATTTAGATGTTCTTTTAGCGCCACCTACGGTAAGAGATACTTTTTTCTTCGTTCTTTTGTGTGTGTGCGTGTTTTTTTGTTTTTGTTTTAACTTGAGCGGTATAGACATTGTACAAGACCTGTTGGTGACGTCATGAAAACATTATTACCACGACGACTTGTAGGTCGAGATTAAAATGACCAAACTGTGTTCGGTTTGCCTTAAGGTACAAATACGTACGCTACTGACTAGTACCAATAACATACAATATACTCTCGAACACATGCTTCCTTTTTTAGTTCCATACGTATTCTGTGCAAATGAGGAATTCAAAACGTCTAATCTAGTGATTTTGAAAATTATTCTTCTGGACGCCATTAAAGATTTATTAATAAAAAATATTCTATCATCAGACTCCGAGTAAAGAAACCGTTGAAGAATTATCAGCGCTGGAACTAGCTGAAGAAATGACCTATTTAGATCATCAGATCTTTGTTTCCATTAGAAGCGAGTAAGTAGTTTGAAGATCGACCTTTTCGAACATATCAGTAAAACACTTCTAAGTTAGATATAGTTAACACCGACATTAAAAAGTAGAGCGCTTATTGGCTGTTGAAATTACGTAATCACAATAGTCAATTAGCACACTGCTGCTAACCGCTTAGGTTAACTACTGTACTGGTTTTTTGATAAAAGAGTTAGCACAAAGGATAACATATAAAGTGTAATAAACTTAAAATAAGACCCAAAACTCGAGCGCGCCCGAAACGAAGGCTTAACTTATTCAGG